AGGAAGGTATTTTAATATCGGGTAACTTTATGCCTATCGGCTTACATGTTGAAACACTAGACTTGTCAGCTACTTCCTTTCTCAATAAAAGTTTTGCAGAAGCTACAGCACAATAAAATTGATTTTCGAAACGATCTCTCTCTTCCAGCTGTTTTACAAGATCGAGATCTTCCGCTACCTCTTCTTCAATTTTAGTCTGTATTTCACTATACATCTCTATCAAACTCGAAGTACTCTCGACACGTAAATTTAATTCTAATGACTGTTGTTCAGTCAAGGGTAAAGTGAACTTTTTAACATAATTTTCAAACATAGTTAATCGACCTTTTAAAACTCCTCTTTTCTTAATTAAATCTGGCAATTTGGGCTCACTCATGTTGGGAAATTAAGGAAATCAAGAGTACTTACAGTTGCCAATTTGTAGATGCGTGCGAACCAAGGTGGGTGCCGTTGCGCAGGTAGGTACCGCCACTTGAGCACTGGAAATGGAATATCAGCACGAAATCAACACCTATCGAAGGATGAGATGGAGAAACGGACGGGAAGTTCAAACCTGCCACTCCTGTCTGTCGATGCCTTAACGTTGCAGCTCTTCGCTCGATACGTGAATCTCCTCTTCGTATTTTGATGCGACGAATCTTCGGAGATTCCAAGCTTGAACTCCTTATTCGGCTCGATAGGACCACTTTATGTACAGGAACGGGAGGCAGGTGCTCTTCAATGAATTTATTTATTGAACGTTTGTTGGTTATATTTAAGTCGTCTTATTGCTAACAGTGTGTATCAGGTAATAAACAAAATTTAATACAGACAGATCTTATAACTAATTGCACGACGTGCTGTGATTGGTTGCTAACAATGACGAGCTCTGATTCGTAGCTAAAAGTTTGGTGTTCCGGTGCGTCGCTAGGCGGCGTTAGAAGTCGCGCCAACAGCTCAGTAATTAAAAAGATCAACCACCAATATAATATGAAATAGGTATCAGTATATTTTAAGCTGTGGCAATATACTAGAGTCTGTGGGTCTCCTACATCCACTGAGCCATAGACCATTATGTCTCCAACTAGCATAACAAGGTTTGTTTATGTCGATGGATTTTGTACTTCTTTTGAGACAAATAAAGACTTTTATTATTATCACTTTTATGTAATACAAAAAAAGTTCCAGTAAACATATCCTTTCTACTAGGATAGTATACTACGAGTATAGGAATGTGCCATGTAGTGGCTGTGTAAGAGAATTCACTACCCCTGTATCATCCCGTAGGTGTAAGAGACAATATCGACAGAGAGAAATTAAAAAGGAGATGGGAGCAGCATCTTCCTGATAACAGCTCAGTTGTATGAAATATATTTGAGAAATAATGGTATTTGATAATAATGATGATAATGACGGTACTACTGGAATAGAATAATAAAGATCTCAATAATATATAATAATTTATTGGTTTGCTTGAATTATTTACCATAACATAATTTACTCATTTTACGAATACAATATAAGTTCTGTGTTTTATTTTTCTTTTTATATTCCTGCTATGTGTTTTAGAGGCCGTGCTTCTCGAGATACGAGCTTAATTTCTTCAACTTCAAGGCCTGTCGGTAGCTGAGGCAAGTCTTCTGTGTGCAACGCAGTGAACCGTCAGCTTGGCAGGAGCAATAGTTGCAGTCGAACCTTTAAATAATTATTATAATATTACAAATTAAACATTTTTCTTAACATAGGTCGATACAACTGATGTACAGTGTAGTGATGTACAGAGGTGACAGTGATAAAATCTATCAAAAGTGTCACATAATACCAGCGCAAAATTTTAATGCCGCTGTTTCTTATGTTGAATGTAGAGAACTGGAGTACACGTTTTACTTTAGGCAGTGCATTTCATATTATTCCTCAAGGGTTTACGCATCTGCATTTTGATTCTTAATCGATGATAGATGTAGATATATACGGACGCCAACATCCATTTACCAACATGTGAACTGTGTGCTCGTTTCCCCCCCCCCCCCCATACTATAAAAAGTATAACATATTTCATCTTATAGCTGTCGTAAGAAACGTCTTGGGAAAATGCAAGACCAGCGTCGTGAAAGTAGTGTCGAACCCACCGATGAACATACGGGAACTATAGATTGCCTCATAGTTGGGATATTTGCCACAGTTGCCACGCTTGGCGTACGGGTTGGCAGCTGCAGTTTTTTTATTTTTAGCCGAAATTAAGAAGACGCTGTTACCCATCTCCTGGGTCGTTTCCTTCTGTCGCCTCTTACGACATGCACAGGATGATAAGGGGTAGTGGATATTCTACATGCCCACTACACGGGGTGTATCGGTGCAAATAAAGGTCGACGTTGTGAGGCGGACGCTCAACCGAGCAATCAATTTCAAATCTCGTAATCAGTAATGCATACTTAAAATTTTAATAGCCAATAAAAATGCTTATTACCACGTCCTCGAGTAGCACGTTCACAATAAAAATATTGTGCTAGTATTATTGAAAATTAATGAAATGCAGGAAGACGATAGATGCAGGCTCGCGGTCATGTTTTAGGACATTCTCCTAGGACAGGTGTAGGGATCTGAAGAGATCATGATGAGATATTATTTTTATAACACGAATGGGTTGACTCGATCGGAAAAGCACCGTGCTCTCACAAAATAACAGCTTAATGCGGCTGTGTTTCGTATGGTGAGTGAAGAGAACCGGAGACATTTTTATGGAAAAAGGCTGACAGTCCACCTGCTATAATAATACCCACTAAAATACCTAGATCAGTGACGAGCAGCAGAACTTTTACGTAGGAGCAACGCAGTAATCGCATATTAAGTCATAGCTGCGTTCGTGATGGCGCTCCACATTATCGCCGTGAAACTCCGGAAACAGGCGTGAACGTGAATGTGGACGGTTTTCGCGGGGTTCACGTGCGTTCACGCCTGTTCCCCGATCAGAGTCACTTCTCAGTACTTCCACATTCACGGCCCCGTGCCAGTTCGTTTCGGACTACAAAGGCGTACGGACGATGTATTTCAGTCATACACCATCTTCTTTTCTTTCAACGCTTTCTAATAAACTTCTTATTTTGGACGTCTAAATAGTAACACAGCAACATACAGCAAATAAAGTTATTGCAGCAGCTGCTTCTACGACAGTTTCGCGGCTGGTTTCACCGATGTGGAGAGCACGACTTGTGCCGTGAATTCGCGCGTAAATTCGCGGCACTAATGTGGAGCCGCTATTAAAATTAAAAACACCTCTCCTCCCTTCACCCCGCACCAACGCAGGCCACATTCCTTCTGACGCACTTCACTGGTGTGCAAGCACTGAGTGCCTCCCGCCGTACTAAGTTCGACTCACTGAAAAAGTATTATTTGTCATAACCAAAATGTATTTGAAGTGACAATAGCCGAATGATAGGGTGCGGCTAGGTTTGCCAGATCGAAAGACCAAAATATCCGGAAAAATTTTGATAATGTCCGGATACTAGGTTTTCTGTCGGTAGAAATAAATATCAAAAATAAAAAGTTTCTTTTTTGAGAGGAAGTTACAAAAAGTACATTAAACAAAATTAAATTAATTATACATAATTTTTAGGTGTCCCTTTACTAGAGCACACCAATTTGGAACCTTTAGCTGTGTTCATAAAATATTTATAAGCAATTTACTTAAAATTTCAGTCTAATTACTAGCTCAGTTTTATTAAATCAAAAGCCATACGTTAAATTTCCGAAAAGCTGTTTATCTGAAGATATTGAGTTTCGTCAGGAGTCTGGAGATCACTTAAAATATCGGGAGAATCCAGGCGAATCCCGACCATCTGGCAACCCTAGGTGCAGCTCACGAAATCAATGGTCGTGGTCGAACTCAAACTCCTAACACATGCATTTTAAGTTTACCAGGCCTAGTTAAAAGAAATATTAGTAATTTTAAAAGCATTGCATACTATTATTATAATTAAACAAGAATTCCATGAACCAACGGTAGATATGGCCACAGAAAAGTTTAAATTACGGATGTATTAAAGAGCCAGTCAGTAAAAATTTAATTTAAATAATTCAACCACAGCGATTATCGAATAAACGAAATACTAACTGTACCTATAATGTATATTAGTGTTATACCATTTTGGAATCCTTACTAAATGCGCCAACTATTGACGCTATTTGCCAAACTCGTACAGTACAATTTTTTTTCAATACAGTCAGTTAAATTTAGGGAATTTGTTATTTTGAATTTTTTTTAGAAAATAAGTCCTATTTTTTATGCAAGCGAGAGCAGCTGGTTTTAAAATTTTGAAAACAGCTTAGAGAAGCATTATTTAGGGTTTCACAACAACAAAAAAGTTGGAGAAAGTAAAGATTTGTGGCAACAGAATTGAAAAGACGGCCACAGGTTGTGATTTTTTTAAATGCCTATAATTTTGAAAACATGCAACTTCATCATCATCATCATCATTACAGCCCCTCACAAGTCCACTGCTGAACATAGGCCTCCCCCAAGGTATGCCACAAAGCACGGTCCTGAGCCACCTGCATCCATCGACTTCCTGCATGTCTTACCAGGTTGTCACTCCGTTTAGTGGGGGGTCGCCCTACACTTCGCCTACCAATACGAGGCTGCCACTCGAGAACTCTTCTTAGATTTTTTAATTTTTTCTGACAACCAGCATGACTTGCCTTTTCACCCGGTTCCAGTTTGACAGCGAGTTTTGGGACAGCCTGTATATATATATATATATATATATATATATATATATATATATATATATATATAATATTCGCTTCCCCCAAACCGTGATTTTCTGCCACAGGTCATGTATGCGCTACGTCAGTTTTTGTCCCAGCAAAAGCCATCCTGATGGTGCGTACAATTCTCGTCCTATGATAGACCAAAACTAGCCAAGATCTTTCTTTCAATGCAAAAGATCCGCAGCTAGTAGACTTATAAGCGAGAGTATCCGTAGACTTTTAAGGCAGATAAATTATAAGCATTGAATACTTACTTGTACATAGTGCCAGGTTCGCACTTGTCCTTATACACGTCGAGAATTGGCCGTTTTTTTGAGGGACCGTGCAGTTTTTTCACCTTTGATCCTGTGAAAACGTTCCATTATAGAAAAGTTCATTTAGCTTTATTTTTTAAATAATTTAAAAATTTTAATCTTTGTTATCATTACCGTCATCATCATCAGATACGGCCTGCGTTACATCATCGTCACGTTTGGCATAAAGATTGACGATCGCAGAATCAGAAGTTGGAAAAAATAAAGTCTCACATTTGACGTTGCTTTTCGTCGCTAGTCAGGGTTTTTTATGCTTGTAAACTAGATGCTTATACCTCTATTTCTCGCATCTCCGATAATACACACAGAATGAAATTTTATGATGGATCTCTAACGCCGCCACTTCCCTCTTTGTTATAGACTGAGAGTTACAATTTTCTAGCAGTCCCAGCAGGTTATTTGAGACATTGTGACGGAAGCTACCATTTAACTATATAAAATACGATATAATTTAAAAAAGTACATAATTATATCTTTTAACTCTTCTTTTTATTTAGTAGTCGATTTTTGGCCATCAGAACCATGTTCATTTATTAACTGAATCACATATACTAGGCTAGCATTTCAAGAAGAAAGTATTACAGCCTCCTATAAAATTATATTTTAAATATTTATCAAAACAAGTGCAATTAGAAAAAATATTTTTTAACCTTTTTTATTCCTAGAATATATATATATATATATATATATATATATATATATATATATATATATATATATATATAATATATACCTACACGTATATACATTTATTAATTTTCTACAAATCTTTAAATTTACTATCGGCTTCCACATAATTTGTTATTATTCACCCGAAATCACCAAACATGAACTTTAAAATGATTTACAATTTCATTTTAAACGTGAATATTTAACGTGAACAAAATATTAATTCATACAATTGTTCAAAACGAAAATTACGAAAAATAACTGGCTATGAGAGAAAGAGAGAAATAAAATATGCGCGCGCACTGCTCTCTCTTGCTTATATCCCCCATTTAACTGCCGTTCGCCTCGCCCGATCACACTTTTCATAACGCTTTCGTCACGCGTTTGTCAGCTTACTCCCCAAGTCAAGCGTGCGTAAAGAAGTTTTACGTCAGTAAAAACGTGGTAATAAAATGGAAATGTGTAGAATATTACCGTTAAATTATATTTTATAAAACCGGTATCATACCTGACCACATCTTATCTTCTTCGACAGGGCACAACTTGCTCTCGCATATGAGATTTCCACTATTCAAACATAGACAGGAGTTGCAGTCCACCATGTAAATTTTTCCCCGCTCACACTTGGCAGCTGAATGTGGTAATCTTGGAAGGCCCGAATAATCATCGTCTGTGATCGGTGGACTAACATCGTTCGGTGTTGATACATCCGTAACTATCAAAATAATTGAAATAATATTAATGTAGTTTACATAGGTCAATAGATTGTATGCTTCGTATGGTGCATACGATTAAAATAAAGGGAACCTATAAAGAGCCTGCATATTACATGTTATTGTATTTTTACATGGTAGATTCGTGCTGAAGCTATATTATGGCTGCAGCATGAATGAGTCGGCTCGAATGGGCTAGAACGCTCTCACAGAAAACCAAAATAGCAGCTAAATGCTGCTGTGTTTCGTATGATGAATGTAGAGAACCGAATACCTTTTTTACTGGATATTAGGGATTCGATATTAGTCCATATCTCTATTTTGATTTTTTATTAAGAAAAAAAGTAGATATCTATAGGCCACAGTACTTCCTTACCATCAGGTGAATTGTGGTGTGTTCGTTTGTCAACCTTGTTCTACAAAATAAAGGTTTTAGGGAGTTACATCTTAGTCTTCAGAGGTGCCAGCGCATCTTTAGTCTTCATTGTTTGAAGTTGACTCCAACTTACCATCCGGTGAACTATGTGCAACTTTGTCACCCTTATTCTATAAAAAAATGTGAAATAGTCTGAAATTTAAAACAATTGAATATAAAACGTGACTATTATATTCTGTTTCTGTTTTCAGTATCTCTTACAATATTGTGAATTCTAAAGTACAAATAACATAAGCACTTTACTTTTCGGAATTTCTTTGCACTCTGATCTCTTCTGTAGAGAACATACAGATCTTCCTTTATTATTACAAAAGCACTTTCGGCATCCTTCCCGATATAACTTTCCTGGAACACATAGACCCCTGGGCAATTCCGGTAAATAAGGCCCATTGTCTTCAGAACCTTGCCTTAAGGTCTTCAATGGACTATTCTTGAAGTGTTTTAGTAGATGAATGCTTTCGTCATTTAGACATGCCATTTTCGTGCAATAGAGTGCATTGTTTTCAGCGCAGTGGCAAGTATTACAAGACATTTTATACATTTGGCCCTTAACGCACGGTTCGCCTTCTCTTATCTCTGGAATGTCTTGATAAAGTAATGATTCGTTCGCTGAAAATCAATGTTTGCTTAATTACACGGATAATATGATAAAAATAACTAAACTCAGGAGAACCACATTAAAAACTTAAGAAGAGGCAAAAATAGGAAACGTGAGACATGAAATAGGGAAATAGCAATACTTTTAAATTTTTAACATATAAAATTGTCCTGGTCTGCTCAGAGCCTTCATAAAAAATACAAATTGTCATTTCTTCAGTTTATTTATTTATAACAAAAAACTACCGATTTACATAAAAAGGTAACCAGATTCTCATTACATATATTATGTGCATTGAATGAGACCAGCAGCATACGCACAAGCGCACAGATAGACACACAACGCATGCATGTAAGCAGGCACGCAAGCAAACACAAACGCATTTATTAACACACTCACACACATACACACACAGGTTCAGGAAAGAAGGAAGAACAGTGTGCTCGTTTGTCACCCAATGCTATAAAAAAAATATAGACAATTACTCTTTTTTTTTAACGCGACTGTCTCGAAAGTAGAGGAAAGTATATATGCGTACAGGTAGGGTTGCCAAACATCACTTATAATAATGTATTCTACTTTATTTTTGATAAATATACTCTATAATTTTACATAAAAACAAAGTATGCGAAAATAATTTATTTCGAATAATTACTGCGATGCGTAAAAAAAAATACAAGTAATTGCTGAATGATTTATCGATACTTAAGGTAAAGTGTACAACCAGTGCGTGTTGCCAGTGATGACTTACGGATCAGAGACGTGGTCCTTCACTGCTGGCCGTATGAGGACGCTCAAGGTCGCTCAGCGAGCTATGGAGAGGGCTATGCTCGGAGTTTCTCTGCGTGATAGACTCAGAAATGAGGATATCCGCAGTAAAACCAGAGTGACCGACATAGCCCAACGGATTAGTAAGCTGAAGTGGCAATGGGCCGGCCATATAGCTCGAAAAACCGATAACCGATGGGGAAGAAAGGTTCTCGAGTGGCAGCCTCGTACCGTTAGGCGTAGTGTAGGGCGACCCCCCACTAGATGGAGTGACGACCTGGTAAGATATGCAGGAAGTCGATGGATGCAGGTGGCTCAGGACCGTGCTTTGTGGCATTACTTGGGGGAGGCCTATGTTCAGCAGTGGACTTGTGAAGGGCTGTGATGATGATGTTGATGATGAAGGTAAATTAGAACCGAGACAACAAGATTAAAATGATGATTTGCAACATCTACCTGTTAGCGATAATTGTCTTTATCGGTTTCCTTTATACCTAGTTGTAGTTTTTCGGTGACGAAAGTGAAGTGGCGAGAAGAGAGAAATGGATCTTGAGAAAGAGAAACTTCGATCGTCAAAACAGTTTTGAAACTTTTAAATATAACCAAAAACTGTTATAGAAAACCTGTTATAAAAGCACAAAAATATTTATTTCAATCAATAAGAACTTAAATTTTTAAATTACTGATTTTACTTGCAAGTAAAAACAGTTAAAAGTAAAGCGTTTTTTCCCTCAAAAATAAAAGTTTGTAACCCTAACTACACGTATTACAGATTTGTAAAACTATAATAATAAACTATAAAAATACTGTAGTCATAATTTAACGGCGCGACGGGGTGTCGTTAGACCTAGGTTATTTTATGACAATAATAAAAACAAACACAGATGCACTTTCTGTTCCTTACTCGCAACTCTACCTAGTTTTATGAAAAAAAAAAAACGCCAATGCAACCGTCGTAAAAAGTAGATTTAGCAGGCATGTGTGGCAAGCGTGAAACTAATTTTATTTTGTCTGTCCGTGTCGTTAATACTCGCTGAAAACTGTAGCACCGCTTACGGATGTTTATGAATTCACTGTCAATTAAAGGATTTCTTGGAAAATAATCGTAATATGCTTTTCACATGCAAGGATAATTAAAAAAAAGCTTTAATATCAAGTTGTGAGAAAATAGTACTATCTACACTTGCAAACCACACCTGTAAGTGCGTAACCACAGCGCTGCGGAGAGAATGGGCAATTTAGCTAATAAGTAATAACAGAAAACTACAATGCAATTCCCTTTTTTAATAAGTTAGGTACTTGTATTTTAGTATGATATAAGTATATCAAGTACTAAAAAGTGGCTACTGTTATCATTATCATCACAACGTTAAAGTCTGCAATCATACATGGATCTACCCCATTGTTCCTTTAAACTCTTCCAAGCCAGTACCTAATTCATTCTTGAAGCGATGTATACGCTTCTACAACAAAATCTCAGAAAAGATTAAGGAATTTATGGATGATTATAACCTATGGGTATGAGGTCATCGCTAGCAAACTATTTCTAATTTATTGTGTGTTGTTAATTGTTTAACATATACGATTGTGAGCAGTTATTATTGTTAAAGTCACGCTGTGTTTCTTCTTGGTTCCTCTCAAGACAGAGGTTTTTTCCGAACCAGAGGTAATTAAACAAAAGAGTGACTTTTAATAAGTATTATTTATAATCTATAATCTATATTGAATAAAAAGTTTCTGCTTCCGCTACTGTTCCTGTTTCAATTGGAAGGATTTGCTTTAATTACTTCTATAGATAACTATATGCATACAGACGCACGCTAGCCACGTACTTAGGAGGCCAAATATGTAGAAATTTAAATATTTGCAAATTTCAGCAATTTATGTAAAAAGACTTGTAAAACATTTCAGATTGATTTTACGTGTAAAAGAGGCGAATTCTGTGTTATATTTATATGAAAATTCCTGTGAATAAGTGAAATAATGATAGTTTTGTATAAGAAATTTAAAAGTGTTTTAATAGTGAAATGTATAGAGAAAATGTAAATTAAACTATTGTATTAGTTAAGATATGTATAATTTCAAGTGGAAAACATTGTTTTAACTTTCTATGTTAAATATTTAAGAAATTCCAACTTTGAACATGTGAGTAAAATAAGCATATTTTGTTAAATAAATAAAGGATTTTTTGTGATATGAAAATGTAATGTATATCGTAGTATAGATATTTCTTTGTGCTATCTTTATAAGTAAATTGTATAAATGTATGTCTTATACAAATAAAGTTATTGAGCAAACCGTGAGAGAGTGATAGTACAAATTGATGTAATTGAGTTGCGCAAGCGCACAAATTTCGCGGCTCACTTTCGCGTTTAGCTTCGTGGTAGTTCAGTAAATTGATTTTTTTGCAATTCGTTCGGGAAACTTCGAGACAGTTCGGGACAGTTCGGGAAAAGTGCAAGACCAGCAGTCAATAAGAAGAAGAAAGAAAAAGTATAGGGAAGTGATATGGAAAAGTAATTACTCTCTCACGGAACGGTTTGAAGATAATTGCTGTCTTATTCCCAAGGAATTCTCTCCTTAAAATGATACAGTCCATATCGAAGAATTAAGGCGTTGGGACCGGGACGACTTCGGAAGACCCGTAATCCCTGCCTGAACCTATTTTCTGAAAAGGAAGAGGTTATCGCCCTTGTGTGTTACTCCGTTGCGGAGATCACATACGTTGTTCCCGAACCCAACGTAGGCGTTATAGGAGGCCGGATCGAGAGAAGCCTCAATTCCCCCCTTCTGTTTCTTAGTTAACGTTTGTCTGGTTCCTTTTCAAGTGGTCCTTCGGAGCAGGATCAAGGAACCAGCTGTGGACTGCTGGTTATGGAAAAAGAAGACCTTCGGAGCCGAGTGAAGATCAGCAACCGAAGGAAGCCGGAGGTTTGAGCTGAAGCAACAGGACCAAAGGCCGGAAGACCAGGTCAGCGCAGTAGGACCGGACCTGGAACTACCAGAAGAAAGAAAATCGGGATTGCGGCTTGGGGCGTGTGCTCGAATGGGGCACGTATCGCAGCCAGGCGCAGGTGCCTTGTGAAGGCGCTCATCGTGGCCAAGCAGGGCTTGGCATTTTTCCTGTCGGGCAAGCGTGCTCGGCATTTTCCTGTCGGACGACCGTGTCCGGCATTTCCTGTCGGGTCATCAGAGGGTGCAAGAAGAAGAAGCATCCACCGCTGCTGCTGCCAGGCGAGGGTGCTCGTGGGCACCTGACTGCATCGCGGCCGAAAGAGGGCGCCTGGACGAGGCGTCACTGGCGACTGGGCGACGAAGCGCAGCATACATCCCGACCACCTAACGGTGCCAAACGGTCGGGCTCTGGCACAACACCTTCGGGTGGAGCAGTTCTCTCGAGCGAGACTGCGCTTGCACTACCGCTCGACTGTTTCGTCATATTCCTTGGCGGGACAGTTCCTAAACCTTTCCTCCATTCCATTCCTGCACGACTCCATCCCTGGATGGCTCACCTCGGTAGACCCCGTTCAGGATTGATGGGACTGATAGGGCTGTTAGGGTGGTAGTAAGGTTGTAGGGTTGGGAGATAAAGGGGGGAGGGGTAGTGGGGTTAGGTTGGGGTATAGTAGGGTTGTAGGTAAGGGGTTGTAGGGACCGTAGGGACAGTTAGGGACCGTAGGCCAACAATCACCTTCCTGCAAGATGAAGAAGGCACAAGACCAGACAGGGAGAAGCGAAGGAACCAAGACAAGGACAGGGCCCTCAAGAAAAGCTAAAGAGGCGGAACCATCTGGAGCGACCACAGCTACTGCTTCGAGTGGAACAACTCCTTCAAGTGGAGCTACCACCGATACGTCCACATGCACGTGGGACTCAGGGGCGTCCATGGCAACGACAAGCAACAGGACGGACACCAGTGGTACGCAGGCCAGCACCGCACAACAATCCGTTATATCCAAGAGTGAAACGGTAGTCGAAAAAGTAGGTCAGAGGACCGAAGAAGCGGCATCGTCAAGGACAGTAATCGGGCACACTAGTGACAAAGGGTCACAGAGAGGTAGTAGGTCATCGCGCGAATTAGAGGCGCGGATTAAATTCAAACGCTCAGAGCTCGAACGAGCACAGGCAGCTGCTGCCTTAGCCAAGTCTCAATTGGAGTTGGCACG